TTATAGAAAGATCAAAGCTTTATTTTATATATCTATCTTTGAGAGATATTTATTGTAAGCTTTCTTTGAAAGCAAAAATATCATTTCGTCTTGTAAAAGTGTTGCAAACACTGTATTCTTGAAATCTTGATAGTGATTGTGAATCACCTAAGATTTGCAAGGGTTTGGACTTGTGAAGTCTATGTAAAATCCGTAGAGGATTGCTCCATTTGTAAAGAGGTTGATAGCACTCCCGTGAAGCTAGAGCATAGTGAAAAATCTCAAGTGAAACTTGAGGAGTAGACGTAGGCCGAGTTGAAGCCGAACCACTATAAATTTGTTTGTCTCGCTCTCCCTTATCTCTTTATTTTATTTAAATTACTGTAGCTATATTTCACATTTTCACTGTGCTAAAATCATTAACTGGCATAGTTGTTAGAACACTTGTTTTAATTATTTTTATTTCATTAACTATATTTATCTATTGTGCTAGTCATAATTTTTATTAGGGTATTATTAATTTTTAATTGTAAAAACCTAATTCACCCCCCCTCCCCTCTTAGGTTGTCTTTTGGGTAACAAATGTGAAATTTGCGTTGAGGCAAAATTATCCAAAACTCCTTTTCATTCAATTGAAAGAAGTACGGAACCATTTGAATTAATTCATAATGACATTTGTGATTTTAAATCAATTTAATCTAAAGGTGAGAAAAAGTATTTTATCACTTTTATAGATGACTATACTAGATATAGTTATGTTTATTTAATTCGAACTAAGGATGAAGTTTTGGAAACTATCATTCGATACAAGAATGAAGTTGAAAATCAACTTGATAAGAAAATTAAGAAACTTAGAAGTGATAGAGGTAGTGAATATGAATCACCTTTTGGTGAATTTTGTAAAGAATATAAAAAATTCATTAAACCACCGCTCCTTACTCACCTCAGCAAAATGGAATTGCTGAAAGGAAAAATCAGACTTTAAAAAAAATGATGAATGTCATGTTAATAAGTTCTGGATTACCTCAGAACTTGTGGGAGGAAGCAATACTTTCAGGTAATTATATACTTAATAAAGTACCAGAAAGAAAGTGAATCAAACACCTTATGAATTGTGGCATGGGAAAGTACCATCCTACAAATACTTAAAAGTGTGGGGGTGTTTAGCTAAAGTGGCTATTCCTAGTCCTAAAAAGACTAAGATAGGTCCTAAAACAGTTGATTGCATTTTCATTGGTTATGCCAAGAATAATAGTGCATATCGATTTTTTATTCATAAGTTAGAACATTCTGAAATGCATGTAAATGCTATTATTGAATCTCGAAATGCATCATTCTTTGAACATATATTTCCAAATAAGATTGGACAAGAGACTAGTAATAATAAAAGATCTTTTGATGCTATTACTAATCATGATCAAGAACAAGAACAAGCGTTAGATCAAATTGAGGAAAAGGAACCTAGGCATAGTAAACGTGCTAGAACCTCAAAATCTTTTGATCCATATTTTCTAACATTTTTGTTAGAAAATGAACCTCTAACTTTTAAAGAGGCTATGTCCAGTCCTGAAGCTCCTTTATGGAAAGAAGCTGTTAATAGTGAAGTTGAATCCATCTTGCAAATCACACTTGGGAATTGGTGGATTTTCCACCAGGTTGTAAATCTCTTGGGTACAAGTGGATTTTCAAGAAAAATGAAAGCGGATAGATCTATTGATAAATACAAGGCAAGACTTGTGGTCAAAGGTTTTAGACAAAAAGAAGGTCATGATTATTTTGACACATACTCACCGGTTACTAGAATAACATCTATTAGAATGCTAATTGCTATTGCATCTTTGTACAATCTAGAAACTCGTCAAATGGATGTGAAAATCGCTTTCTTAAATGGTGAGTTAGATAAAGAAATTTACATTAAACAACCAGAAGGATTTTCTGTTCTAGGAAAAGAAAAGAAAGTGTGTTAATTGGTTAAATCATTATATGATTTAAAACAAGCGCCAAAGCAATGACATGAAAAATTTGACAAGGCAATGATGTCAAATGGATTTAAAATTAATGCGTGTGACAAATGTGCTTATATTAAAAACACAGACAAAGGTTATGTCATTGTATGTCTTTATGTAAATGATATGCTCATCATAGGTAGTAATAATGAAATGATTAAAACTACCAAGAAAATGTTGAAAGCACATTTTGACATGAAAGACATGGGGATTGCTGATGTAATTCTTGGTATGAAAATTATCAAAACATCATAAGGTTATGCTTTGTCACAATCTCATTACATTGAGAAAATACTTGACAAATTTAGCAAAGATGATGATCATCTTGCTAGAACACCTGTGGATGTTAATTTGTTTCTTTCTAAGAATGTACAGGAAAGTATTTCTCAATTAGAGTATGCCCAAATTATTGGAAGCTTAATGTACTTGATGAACTACACTCGCCCGGATATAGCTTATGCAGTAAATAAATTAAGTAGATATACAAGTAACCTAGGAGTAGAACACTGGAAAGCAATTATAAGGGTTCTAAGATATTTCCGATTTTTTCATAATATTGAGCTTAATTATACTAGATATCCAGCAGTACTTGAAGGACACTATGATGCAAACTGGATATCGGACACTAAAGGCTCGAAATCCACCAGTGGGTATGTTTTTACTCTTGGTGGGGCGGCTGTATCTTGGAAATCTTCCAAACATACTTGCATTGCTAGGTCTACTATGGAATCAGAATTCATAACTTTAGATAAAGCTGGGGAAGAAGCAGAATGGCTTCGCCACTTCCTTGAAGATATTCCAATGTGGCCAAAACCGGTGCCTGTTATATGCATACATTGCGATAGTCAATCAGCAATAAATAGAGCACGGAGTCATATGTATAACGGTAAGCCACGACACATTCGTCGTCGACATAACACCGTGAGACAACTACTCTCTAATGGAATTATTTCCATTGAATATGTGAAGTCTAAAGACAACATAGCGGATCCACTAACCAAAGGGTTAGCAAGAGAGCTAGTTGAGAATTCATCGAGGGGAATGGGACTTAAGCCTATTAATAAGAGTTACCACAACGGCAATCCAACCTAGTTGACTGAAGATCCCAAGATCTAGGTTCAAAGGGACAACCGAATTGTGTATAACTCAGAAGGATCACCGGGCAGTCAAACTCTTACCCATTTCTATGATGAAATAGTGATGTCTGCAGCATTTTAAGTTAAGTAAAATTTTAATGATTCTTATATCTAGGTAAACCTAGTAGAGTATGGCAGGATACTCTTCATAAGAATCACATATATGAGTGTGAACTGAGCCAGTTCTATGAGATTTGTGAATGGCTACAAATCTTTAGAGCACTCATGAAAGACCAGGTTGTTCAGAGCCAAAATGAACACAATAGTGAGAACTAAACTGTGTCTAGGGATATACTGTATGAGTTCTATTGTCTTGGTTTACATAAACGGCTGAACAGTTCAAGAATCATGTTCACTGGTTAACTAGTAAATCCGGTAGTGTCTCACAAGGGAAGGTTCAAAGCCAAAAGCTACCTATCCTTTGCAGAATATTTTCAATTTTCGTACTCTCTGTAATTAGATTATATTGTTACATTTTATGTCCGTCAAATTCCATTCATGTAAGGGATTGTTGGAAAGTTGGTTTTATATAGGCTTATTTGGGCCAACTTTGAGCCCAAAATTGAGTGAGCCCCAAACGCCTTTTGGGGTGGTTCCGAAAAGGTGACGTGTTCCTTGCCACGTGGCAAGTCACACGGTGAAGACGGTTCGTCAAAACCATTTATGAGTGAATGGGAACTTGACGTCATTTTTGGGTTCGTGAAATGGATATTTAAAGATTTAAATGTGGGTTTCCTTGTAAGGCTTCTCCCACATTGAAACTTGAAGAGAACTTATGTGTGTATATAAGTTCTAGGTGACAATACTTGGGTTGAGCCCCAAGGGACACCCCAAGTTTCTAGAAGGGAGGAGTTATGGACAAAGTGAACCTTAGCCTAAACCACCACACAAGCGCACCCGCCACCGTCCAGCGAGGCCGAGCCATGCCGGGTATGGGTTGTGGGTCGGTTCGGTTCTAATATTAATTTTTTGGGCAAAATTTATTTGAATTTTTTCAAAAAAATCTTGCTTATATTTCAAATTAAATTTGAATTTGAATTTTTGTCCAACCTCCGAATTCCACTAGATTCCAAACAGGTTAAACAGTCCAAACAATTTTCAGAACTGTTGAAACCCGAACAGATTTAAAACTGCCAGACAGTTTCAAATCTGTCCAGCAGTTACCAACAGATGTGTTTAGCAGTTATTTGTTTCAAAAATGTCCAAACAGTTTCCGGACAGATTCAATTATCTGTTCTAAATTAAAACAGCACATGTTCATTTTAAAAAAACCACCTGTTTAGATTGTGTTTCATACTTATTCGGGACTGGTTGTTTGCCTATAAATAGAGGCCATTTCCAGCAGTCTTGTAGATCTGAAAAATTAATTCTTTCCTTCTAGTTTTGCTCTCTCGCATAATATAATCTTCATATTAATTTTAGGGGAAAAAAAAAAACAGAGAGTAAGAACAAAGATTTTTGTTTGCCGAACAAGTTATTTGGAGTGCTATTGCAATTTGTGAAGATCATTCTATTCTGAGAAATAGACGCCACTTAACCGTAAACACCGTAACGGGGCGAATCTGTTTTAAGGATAGAGTGTTATATACTCAACTTGATCTTTTATTATTCATTTAGTTTGATAAAATAAATTCGGTACATAATTTATTTTATTTATTTTATTTAATTTCAATTTATTTATTGTACGACGATGATGATTTTTCCAACCGTCAACGTGCATTTCATTGAACGTGGATTTATCTATTCTTGAAATTCTATGAACGTGGGATATGATCCCATAGAAAACAAAACAATAAGAATGAGTGTCAGGTATATAGCAACTTAAACACGGTAACTCAATCTAAAAAAAGACGCACAACAATTTATACTCTTGTTCATATTTTTTGATGGTCATTAACGTACTGATTTATACATCAGAGAGTACCTTGATTGACCATCGGTCGTTCTTCTTCTATAATCGTTCGAGTTCAATCCAATATGACGCCGTTACAAAGTGTAGTAAAAAAAAATTCCACACATAAATAAGGGCATCGTTGGAGATGCCTAACCAATAATATATACAAGTTCGAATTTCAAAATCGTGAGTCTCAAGTAGGGTAGACTTTGCAACAATGGTGTTGAAGAAACTCCCAAAACCCATTTCAAAACCCCTCCACCCTTCCTCTTCCTCCCTCCTCACTACTCCTCCGACCACCGACACCGCCGCCTTCATTCTGCCCCCTGAACCATCCTCCTCCCCTCCCCTTCCCACAATTTCACTCTCCACCACCACCACGACGCAAACCCAACTAACCCACTTCCTCAAAACCCACCTCAAACCCTCCTTCACACCCCAAGACCTCCTCTCCTTCCTCAAGAATCGCCTCCATCACCACCCCAATTTCACCCAATTCGACCTCCACATCTTCCGCTACGCCGCCACACTCGATTCCTTCCGCCACGACCACTCCACCTTCGAATGGATGGTCCGAACCCTCTCCGTCACCGACCGCTTCGACGCTCTCCGCTCCGTCCTCCAATTCATGGTCTCGAACCAATGCCCTTGCTCCGATGGTATCTTTTCGTGCTCTCGAACCGAACCTATTTTTCGTTTTGCCATTAATTCTTATTGTAGAGTTGGTAGATTTGATGATGCTTTGATTGCATTTGATTATATGATGAAAATGATTGATGGGTTACCTAATGTTGCTGTGTATAATACTTTGATTCATGGTTTTGTTAAGTTTAGAGAACATGAAAAGGCTTTGGGGTTTTACAATAGGATGATTAAGGATCGGGTTAAGCCGGACGTGTTTACATTTAACATCTTGATTAGTAGTTATTGCCGGAATTCGGAATTTGGGTTAGCTTTGGAAGTGTTCAAAGAGATGAGGATTAAGGGTTGTAGTCCCAATGTAGTCAGCTTTAATACTTTGATTAAGGGGTTTTTTAGAGAGAGGAAGTTCGAAGAAGGGATTGGAATGGCGTATGAAATGATTGAGTTGGGTTGTGAGTTTTCGACCGTCACTTGTGAGATTTTGATCGGTGGGCTCTGTAGAGTTGGTCGGGTTTCGGAGGCCTGCAACCTCGTGATTGATTTATTAGAGAAAGGAGTTTTGCCTAACGGGTTTGATTATTTTGATTTGATTTCAAAGCTCTGCAAGGAAGGGAATATGGGGAGAGCACTGGAGGTGATGGGTAAGCTATGGAGGAAGGGGAATGCTCCTAGTTTTATTGCATGTACAACTTTGATTGAAGGCTTTAGGAGAGTGGGCAAAACTGAAGAAGCGGCTACATTGATGGAAAAGATGTTAAAAGACGGTATTGTTCCGGATAGTGTGACTTATAATTGTCTACTTCGAGATATGTGCAATGCGGGAAAAACAGTGGAAGCAAATAAATTGAGGCTGCTGGCTTCTAGCAAGGGTTTGGATCCAGATGGCATGACCTATAACATTTTGGTTTCGGGATATACAAGGGAAGGTAAAAGGAAGGAGGGGCAAATTTTGGTGGATGAGATGTTGGATAGGGGATATATACCTGATATCGCTACCTATAATAGGTTGATGGATGCACTTTCGAACGGAAAGAGTTCTCTTCGATGAGAACTAAATGTAATTCATGGGCAAGTCGTTGATGTTTCAAGTTTCGATTGCAGTGTTAATTGTATACATTTGCTTGGTGTGTAACTCCTGTGCTGGTGTGAGACAGTGCATCCCAAATGATGATGTGTGTGCATTATGCCATAGTAATGTAGAAGGTTCTAGAAGGAAACAAAATGCAGACAATGCAGTGAAAGCAAAACAGCAAGGAAATTACTCCGAATTCCTTTCAATTTTGCAGTTGTGGACTGACCTTGATGGGAGATGATCAATCAATTATACTTGAACATAATGGCAGCGAGGACTCACAAAGAGATGAATATGGCACTTCATAATGCAGCAATGGTTCCACTATAACTTGGTATATATAAATTATGTTTCACATTCGTTATATATTTTGTGATGGTATATGGGAGAGTGCAGACCTATGTTTCTGTTCCATGCACAAGTTGCCTCATGAAATGATTCATGGAGATGCTTGAACGTCACATATCTCAGCACTTATTTTCCACATTGTTTGGTATGGACAAAGTTACAATGTATTTGTGAATGTATAGCCAAAAAGAATTGTAATAAAGCACGTTTTTAGAAAGGCAAAATGGGAAATGTCATTCTCATAGCTGTTGTGGTTCAATCTATTCCATTGATGTTCTTCAATTTTGATTAATAGCATTCTTGTTTGTAATATATTTGGAAAGACCTTACACCTTACTACTTGGGTGTTAGCCAATTTTGATTAATAGCATTCTTGTTTGTTATGTATTTGGAAAGACGTTACACCATTCCAATCAAACATGCCAATTGTTGCCAGAGTCCATGTACCTGAGGAGGTCACAAGTTTGACTCCCCCTCCCCCTCCAAAGTACCAACAAAAAAAATAAAAAAAGGAATTGCCAAACTACTTTCTAATTTTTCAAAATAAAATAAAACAAGCTCTAAAAACTCAACCAAACGAAGCACATGGCAGGAAGAGGAAGAAGGGGGGAAGGGCACAGGGAACTTACCATGTATCATGTTAGCCTTCTTTTATTACCATATTCAAACATGTTTATTTACTCACAGGTTCCAAAGGTGAATGTATTTTTGAAATTTTGATTCCGGTATCATATCAACTCTTGCATGAGTCCTATGGTCACAAAATTTTATTTGATGTTAAGCACATTGCTCATGCTTTTATTCCTTATTAAACTCTGTAATTTGAGGCTGAATAATAAAACACAAACTTCGGATTTTTAAATTGTGAAATTGACAATTTGGGTGGAATCAATACACTTTTTTGAATGGAAGGTCCATTATTTTGAACCAAACACAAGTTATGTTTTATTCACATATTTTGGCATATTTTGGCCTATTTTGAGAAGGTGGTAAAAATCAACTTTTTTGCTTTTAACCAAGATTTTTGGATTTTTCATAAAGTGACTTGGGAAGTTGGTAAAAAGTTGCTTTTTTGATTTTGTAGATAATATTTTTTTAAGTTGTCATGTCATAGTATAGAACTGTAAAATTACCAAAATGTCCTTACCCAATGCAATATGTAACCCTCTTTGAGAACCAGCAACTCCTCAAAGTCCTCGAAGCTCTGAAACAAGCTTCTCACGATTTACACTCCAACCCTATTCCCAAATCCTCCGATTCTTCCAACTCCTCCGCCATTAAAGCTCTCCTCGAGCTCCAGACCAAGTCCAACTCAATCCTCTCCACCGACCCTTACCTCTCCACCCTTTCTCATCACCTCACTTCCCGCAAATCCATCGTCGAATCCCTCGACAAATCCCGATCCCGACACGGCCTCCGATCCTTCCTCACTCGCCGAGTCACCACTCACGGGATTTCGCGAGTCGCCGTCTCAATCGAGTCCGAATCGAAGCCTGGATAGACCGCGAGAGCATCAACAACCTTGTTCGAGCACTCAATCAATCATCTTCCTCAACCGACGATCAAACCCTAATTCAAATGTTGATCAATTTCGAAAACAAGGTTTCCCAAGGCTTCAATCGCGAGCTTCGGGATTTGATTCTCAATTTTGAACTTGGTGTTTTTGGGCAATATGTAACCCTAAACAACAATGAGGGCAATATCGTAATTTCACGTCTTTGATTATAATCAGAATCCCAAATCGTTTTTGGGATTTTTTGCCCAAAAACGCTGGCGTCTGAGTTTTCATCCCAGACGCAGCGTTTTACTCTGTTCCCAAAATACCACTTTGTCAATGTGTGAACAAAACAAAGCACGCATCTGGATGACATCTGGTTAAAGCAGAACCATTAAACCTATATTTGTTAAACAGGATGAGACTAGGAGACAAGTATAAACAATATGGTAGATTTGCAAGATTATTGTTTACTGTTTGTTATTACCATGCTTTTGGAGGTTATTGGTCCAGACAAATAATTTCCCTATCATGCCAATCAAATGTAGGATTATTAATCCGGAGTGAGCAAGGATCGAACATAAGAGGTCTAAAATCCAAGCAAACAAACACAGTCTAAGGGATTCCATTCTGTTTGTAAGCATGTTTCTGAGATTATTTTTGCATGGTGGGAAATAACAAATACTGGGGTGGTATTCGTTATCTCCCATTTTCAGATATAATGTCTATCCTGGGCCAAAATTGCAACCAAACACCAAACAAGGAGACGTGAGGGACAATAAGAAACAAACACCAGACAAGGAGACATGAGGGACAAAGAAAAAGAAGCAAAATCCACGAGAGTACAAATCAAAGATTCTTCAATACCCTCTATATTCTATGATCGAATGGGACCTAAGAGTTCCTTCCAACTATCATATACCTAAAATTAATAATACAATTATAGAAAAACATAAATGGGACGAAGGAGAAAGATCACTAAATGAAGTATTTTCACAATTGCTCCTCAAAATAAATGGACTGTGAAAGTATTTAAAGTGAGCTAAAAGGTGCATTTGGAACGGCCCTTGAAATGATTTACACTTCATTGAACATTTTTCCTACCGTAAACAGAAACTGTTTCATTTGAATCAGAAAAAAAGTATAGCTCATATTGTCTTTCCATGGTGATAATAGTAGTAACTGCTAAAAAAAATTTGAAAAAACATTATAAAAAAAATGAAGAAGAAGAAGAAGAAGAGATTCTCACTAATTAGACTTCTCTGCGATAACAGTAAGGTTTCATTTTACATGTCACTAGTTAGCCTGCAGCGGCACCAGTTACTTCTGGAGTAGAATCCAACTCAGGTAGTTAATCGATTCAACCCTTTCCACCACCCAATGTAGTTTCCAAAATAAACTAACAGGGAGAGAGATTACTCTTCACCATTACTGAATTTGCAATATCAATCCACGAAAAAAAAAAAAAAAAAAAACTCCTCAAATGAAGTACTTCACCATCTGAATTTCTTTTTGCTTGAAACCACACTTTTCATAGAAAACTCGGTTATCAGTGCTGCAATCAAGGATTACCTTGTAACAACCTGTGGAACGAGCATGATCTATAAGGAACTCAACAATTTTCTTTCCTAACTGCATTCCTCGAGCACTAGAATCCACTACAACATCTTCAATATGCCCAACTTTGCCACAATTCCTTATGAACTTCTTTTCAGTAAACACACTTCCAGTTGCAACAATCTTCCCAGAGCGATTGTCTTCAATGACACATATAAGATGATCATCACCATATGAACTGAGCTCTCGAAATCGTTCTTCAAATTGTTTTTCAGATACAGAATCACATACAGTTAGTTGTTGTAACAGTTCAATGAAGCCCTTGCTTTTGTCTGAAATCTCTAGTTTTCGAACTTGAAACGAGTCTTCATGGAAGGAGTTATTGTTCTGCATCCTTTTACGCAAAATCTCACAGCTCCTTTTCAGATTTGCTGAGAAATTGAAAATTCAGATCAACAGCGAGACATTTAGAGAAGCAAGACGATGGGACAAAATAAACAACCTAGTCTGATAACCTTGATTATCCATACTAAATCACAGAAGACACTAAATAAAGTGAATGGGATTCCTAGTCTGATATGCAAATTTGAAGTCAAAAGTTTTCAAGAAATGAACCATTTCATACAAAATAGAGACACAAGAGAAGGAAAACAACAACAAAAAAATCAAAACAAAACAAACAGATTTCCATCAGAAAAAAATGCCTTTTTTTGTATTTTTATTAACAAAAATTCGAATAAACTATTTTGATGTAAGCCAAGAAATCCTTTCTCATTTTTTTCAATTAATAAACAACAACAATAAAAGTAAATTCTCAATCAATTATAACAGATCCAAGCAAAAGGATTTCACTCTATATGGGGAATACAAATTCAAGAGTACCTATTATAAAATAGCTCAAGATGCATATAGTTTTACAAGATTTAGTTGCCAAGACAAAAATTTACACACTTTTATAGGGCAACACAAGGGGATGCAAACCAGATATGAAGTACGGGTGCGGGTACGAATACTGGTACGTTACGGGCTATGTTACACGGACTCCGGTACGGGTATCGGGTGCGGATGCGTATCTAGGGGTCGGACACTTCAAAATTGAAAATTAAAGATATGTGGATATGTATCAAAATTTGGATTTGGGTACGGGGATACATTAAATAGTTTTTTTAATATATATATATATATATATATATATTTATTATGTGAAGATGAGTTATATTATATATGATACAATAAATTATTTTTATTTTAGACATAAAAATTATATTATTAATGATATATTATATTATATAATTTTTTTTGGACGAATAATATTATATATTATTATATTAATGTAATTTATACTATATGTTAATGTAAATGTAATATGAATAATGGATGAATAATATTATATGATGTGAATAATATTATATATTATTATATTAATGTAATTTATATTATATACTAATATAATATAAAGAAGAAGAGAAGAAAATAGAATAGAGAGAACAGAGAAGAAAATAGAGGGAGATCAAGAGCAAAAAGAAGAGAAGAAAGAAGAAAATAATATTAAAGAAGAAAATAGAACAGAGAGAAGAGAATAAAGAAGAAGAGAGAACTCAGAAAGAGAGAGAGGAGGGGAGAGAGAGTGGAGGGAGATCGAGAGACGAGAGGAGAGGAAGAGAGATCGATAGATCGAGAGACGAGAGAGAAGACAGAGCAGGAGATGGAGATCGAGCATCGAGCATGTCGAAGCTGTCGAACCAGCGACCAGAGGTATCGAAGTCGGCGACCGATGTCTTCGTCGTTTCAACAAGCGACCAGGTTCTCTCTGGCTTTCTCCTCTTTCATTTTTTTGCTGTTTGTAAAGAACTGTGTTCGAGAGAGAATAGGCGAATCCGACACGGCCGACACAGATCTCACACCCGCACCCGTGTCATGTCGTGTCGACATGGGTACTTCACTCCAAAATGCAGAGTCCATGTAACATAGGTTACAGGTACGCCGATACGACAAAACCTAAAAAAAATAAAATATGGGTACGGCTAAGGTACGTCAATAAATTTTTTATTTTTTTAATTTATAGTTTAAGATTCAATTTACAAATCAAAATTCAATACCAAAACCAAATGAAAAAATTATAAAATCAAACGAGAAATCATAGTTTAACAATACCAATACCAAAGCAAAGTCTATAAGCTGTTTTAATGCCATTAAATAGGAGAAATTGCAAAATAAAGTTTCATTCCAAAAGCGAACTAAGCAAAATTTAAAAACTAAAAATTTCAATTTTCACTTCCATCAACCTCATCATTGAATAATACATCTTTCATCTATGGCACATCAAGTAAAGGATTTGTAATTTCAGGTAAATCAGAACTCTCTAATAAATTAAACCTATATCCACCAATGTCCAATAGCTTAGTGTACCCTCGATGTACCCATCTTGTACCCATGAAGTATCCGCTGAGTACCCAAATGTCAAAGAATATATAAGAAGTACCTGGTACGTATTTTAAGTACCCAGTACACATACAGCCCTATCGGTACGAGTACCAGTACTCAGTACGACTACGGCAATATTTTTGTACTGTGTTTCAAAGAAACCAATTAAAGGAAAACAAAAACATACACACAAACACGAGCAGCATACAGCAAATTTACATTGTTTATCAAAAAAAAAATAATAATAATAATTTTTAGAATTCATAGTATTGTCAACCTGAAATGTAAGTCTATTATGGGCATGACTGCCCGTTTAAGGTACTTAACACTGGAGACACACCATAGGTGTTAAGATGTTCTTACTAACATGACCTGCTTTACCACAAATCATATTTTTATAATGCAGTGGCGCAAATGCATCTTGCAGCAATATATGATATGTTTAGCCGGTGGGCATTAGTTTCCACACCTGGATAATGAAAAGCCCCTGTTGAACTTCCTCCACACCTGATGATAGCATAGATAGAAGACCTAAGTGTCCAACTTAGGTTCTATTTGGTTTTTGCTAACAAGTGATATTTTGAATTTTTTTTGTTTTTTTTTTAAATATTGGTTGTTTGGTTTCAACTAATTAAGGTGACCCAAAAAAAGAAGGAAAAAAAATCACTTTTTTAACATAACCCACCATGCCTGGCATTTTTTTCGATCCTTTTTGTATTCTAGTAAAAAAAAATTAATTTATTATTATTTTAAATTTTTCAGTTTCTAATCTAGAATGATCTAAAAAGTATTTAGGGGGAAAAAATTCAACTGCACAACTTTCTTAACAGATATGTTCATTCAAAGTCATCTTAGAAAAATAACCATATATCAACAGCACAGTCACAGAGTTGAAGCTCATCCCAATTTGTGCTCGTAACTTTCAACTAATTAGGGCAAAATATAACAAATTACAGCACTAAGCAAAATCAATTCAAACTATCTTCCAAATATAGCCCACAAAACTTGATTATTCATAAATTCAAAATGTGCATCAGGTCGATTGAACAAACACAACACAACAATTCATCTTCAAAAAAACACACACACACATATATATATGATATATTACTCATCCAGACAAATAAATATATGTACATACACAGAGAGATCCGGATTCGTGGAATTCAAACTACAGATCAGTGAAGAAAAACAGATTAATCAGATTAGGATATGGTAAAATTAATAAAATAATCATAAATTAGAAACCATATATATATACATATATGTAATGCAATGTAGTTTACCTGTTCGACGAAACGGGAGAGAGAGAGAGAGAGACAGCGCTCGCGTTGAGAGGTCTCTGCAAGCTCTCCGTTGCGTTTGAAACGTTCCAAGTTCAGACTGTTGATGCTTTGGGCATCTCAGCATCTATATTAAATTGCTTAGATAGCCCTATAGTTTTGCAGTTCCTTCCACTAGTGTTTTATATAAATTGCATTTTCATATATATATGTGTGTTCCTTCCACTAGTTTTGATATAAAACACTAGTGGAAGGAACTGCAAAACTATAGGGCTATCTAAGCAATTTAATATAGATGCTGAGATGCCCAAAGCATCAACAATCTGAACTTGGAACGTTTCAAACGCAACGGAGAGCTTGCAGAGACCTCTCAACTCGAGCGCTCTCCCTCTCTCTCCCGTTTTGTCGAACAGGTAAACTACATTGCATTACATATATGTATATATATATGGTTTCTAATTTATGATTATTTTATTAATTTTACCATATCCTAATTTGATTAATCTGTTTTTCTTCACTGATCTGTAGTTTGAATTCCACGAATCCGGATCTCTCTGTGTATGTACATATATTTATTTGTGTGGATGAGTAATATATCATATATATATGTGTGTGTGTGTGTTTTTTTGAAGATGAATTGTTGTGTTGTGTTTGTTCAATTGACCTGATGTACATTTTGAATTTATGAATAATCAAGTTTTGTGGGCTATATTTGGAAGATAGTTTGAATTGGTTTTGGCTTAGTGCTGTAATTTGTTATATTTTGCCCTAATTAGTTGAAAGTTACGAGCACAAATCAAAAGCCAAGAATTTATCATCAGTCATAAGCTGGTTTTTGGAACACCAAACCAAACAAATATTTCATACACAGCAGCAGCAAACAAACTAACAAAAATATTGACACTGTAAACTTAGGAAAGCCGTTAAAACAGTTACATACCAATATTTTGGTGATCCTGGTTTGTGTTGAGCAAGCGTCCGTCATCACATACTATGATTTTTACTACAACAAAACACATCAGCCGATGAGTACATCATCATCTAACGGCGCATATCGCTGATTCCTAAGCCTTCAAGTCTGCAGCAAAAGAGTAGTCTAAAGAAGGGCTTATTTATAGTTCACATTTCGTTTTTGTTTTTTGTTTTTGGTGCAATCTTTCTTTCTACTTGTCAGGTTTCCACACAAACCAACTGAAAAAGACTTTTGAAGAAGGAAGAATTGCACACCTTTTTCTTTTTTTTTTGTTGGAGGCCACAGATTTCTTGATCACTCTACTATGTACATGATTTTATGAGGAAATATCCTTATATACCTAAACTTTTACGCGTTTTTTAATTTGACCTCAGACTTTGATTAATATTAATTTTACACCCAAACTTTCGAAATTTTGATCAATTTGGCCCCTCCCGTCACATTCCGTCTACAATTGGACGAAATATGCTGACGTTTCATCAAAATTCATTTGAAATTTCATTTTACCCCCACACTATACCTTAAAAATCAATTTGTCCTCCAAACTATACCTTAAAAATCAATATGCCGCCCACATTAGCACATTCCGTCCAGTTATAGACAGAATGTGACGGCAGGGACCAAATTGATTAAAATTTCGAAAGTTTGGGTATAAAATTGATATTAATCAAAGTTTGGAGATTATATTGAAAAATACATGAAAATATGGAAGGTACTCAGCGGATACTCCATGGATACAAGATGGGTACATCGAGGGTACACTAAGCTATTGGACATTGGTGGATATAGGTTTAATTTATTAGAGAGTTCTGATTTACCTGAACTTACAAATCCTTTACTTGATGTGCTATAGATGAAAGATGTATTATTCAATGATGAGGTTGATGGAAGTGAAAATTGAAATTTTTAATTTTTAAATTTTGCTTAGTTCGCTTTTGGAATGAAACTTTATTTTGCAATTTCTCCTATTTAATGGCATTAAAACAGCTTATAGACTTTGCTTTGGTATTGGTATTGTTAAACTATGATTTCTCGTTTGATTTTATAATTTTTTCATTTGGTTTTGGTATTGAATTTTAATTTGTAAATTGAATCTTAAACTATAAATTAAAAAAATAAAAAAATTATTGACGTACCTTAGCCGTACCCATATTTTATTTTTTTTAGGTTTTGTCGTATCGGCGTACCTGTAACCTATGTTACATGGACTCGGCATTTTGGGGTGAAGTACCCATGTCGACACGACACAACACAACACGACACGGGTGCGGGATCTGTGTCGGATCCGCCTATTCTCTCTCGGACACAGCTCTTTACAAACAGCAAAAAAAATGAAAGAGGAGAAAGCCAGAGAGAACCTGGTCGCTTGTCGAAACGGCGAAGACATCGGTCACCGACTTCGATCCCTCTAGTCGCTGGTTCGACCGCTTCGACATGCTCGATGCTCGATCTCCATCTCCTGCTCTGTCTTCTCTCAAGTCTCTCGATCTCTCTTCCTCTCCTCTCGTCTCTCAATCTCGATCTCCCTCCACTCTCTCTCTCCCCCCCCCTCTCTCTCTCTCTCTCTCTCTGAGTTCTCTCTTCTTTATTCTCTCTATTTTCTTCTTTAATATTATTTTCTTCTTTCTTCTCTTCTCTCTTCTCTTGATCTCCCTCTATTTTCTTCTCTGTTCTCTCTATTCTATTTTCTTCTCTTCTTCTTTATAGTGCTGAATCAATTCCAACAAAAACCAGAAATAAAAAATAAGCTCCGAGAGGTCAGAAATCCTGGACATCAACTCAAGCTCTTTCAGGCTTTAAATCCTAGACATTTTCGACACTTTTGTGCTTTGAAGTAGAACCAATCAATGTTTCTAACTAGTTTAGTTTCCATAAACACTGATTTGTGCATCAATGGTTACAAACAACAACAGAAAATAGAAATACAAAACAGAGATGAAATCAGAAAAAATAAAAAATAAAAACTAAAAACAGAAAATAGAAATACAAACAGAAAAAAAACAAAAACAAAAACAAAAACAATCGATCTAAAAAACATAATAAAAATAAAAATAAAAACATAATGAAAACATAAAACATAATAAAAATAAAAACAAAAACAGAAAAAAAAAATCTCCTACTTACATTCACCGAATCCATTGTAGATGACATGAACAATCGATCTAATCTGCGATGGATGATCTGGGAACCTATTTCAGAGTGTTACAGATTAAACCTATTTCAGAGTGTTACAGATTAAACCTATTTCAGAGTGTTAAAGAGAGAGAGAGAGAGAGAGAGGAGCTCGCCGAAAGAGGAAGACAACAGCTATAGATCGATCTAATCTGAGATGGAGATCTGGGAACAAATAAACAAAAATAGTCACCGATCCGAGAGAGAGATGAGAGATGAGAACACCGAGAGAGAGAGAGAGAGCTCACCGACGGAGAGAGAGCAGCAGCACACCGATCTGATCTGATCTGAGATGGATGAGAGTGTGTGAGAGAGAGAACTCAGTCTGAGATGGGAAAGAGAAGAGAGAGAGACACCATCGATATAGAATAGATACCTGAGATGAGATGAGAGTGAGTAGGGCTGAGCAACTGATGCGCGAAATCAGTAATTCGATCCAGTTCAGTTTAATTTGATAGGTTTTGATTGATTTTTTGAATTTACGGTTTGGTTCCAAATTGAAGAATTAAAAATCTGTAGTTTACGGATTGGTTCCGGATTGAACTCATGGTTTCGGATTGGAACTGATCCGAACCATATACAAATAGTCTATATTTTTATTATATATTCTCCTTCATAGTATCTTCTCTTAATTCTATATAAAATCTAAAATCAAATCTAAAACCGTATAATATCTTATTTTATTACTCTTGTTTGTTGGTTTTTAGTTTTAAGTTGTAATGGTTTAAATACTTATAGTGAAACCAATTTTCTTATGGTTGTTTAAATTTTAGAACAGTATGTCGCTATTATAGAAAAATATGTTGCTATTGTGGAACTAATATAATACTATATTTATATTTTTATAAAATTAAAGTGTTATAAATATATTTTTGTTATTTAATTATGTGAATCCGTGGTCCTAAACCGATCCAATCCGTATTTAAATGGATTGGTTCGGATTGTTTCATGATTTAAACGGATTGGATTGGTTCCAATTTTTTAGGAATCGTATATAACAAATTGGTCTTGGTTTTATCCCAATCCAGTCCAATCCAGACCATGCTCACCCCTAAGAGTGAGAGGCGTGAATGAGTGAGGTGAGGCTGCTGAATTAGGTTTACATTTTAGTTTTTATATCGTATAAGAAATTAGAGCAATGCTACGTCGCTCGAAAACAGGCCCCCGAATCCCCCTAAAGGCAATAACGACATCGTTTTTGCCTTCTTTTTTTTTTTTTGTTGAATCAGAAATGAAGAAGAAGAAGAAGGAGGAGGGAGGAGGAGGAGGAGGAGGAGGGACTGAAGGGGGCCCAACAAATGGGGCGGAGGCGGAGGCGGGGGCGGAGGCAGGGGTGCGACGGCCATCTGGCGGAGGTGACGGCGGAGGCTGCGACGATCGGGCAAAGGGCTGCGACGGCTGAGACCTGCCTCCTCTTCCCTTCTCTTCTCTTTCCCATCTCTTTCTTTCCTCCGTGATTTCAGGGGATTCGGGAGAAAAAAATTAGAAGGACAAATCATTTTCCAAGAAATTATATGGTGTGGGAAGGTATATAGTATAAAAATATAAATTATTTTTAGATGGTTCGAATCGGTTTCAATTCGGAACCGTGAGGTTCAATCCAAAATCGATCCGTGGCTTACAGATTTTGAATTTTTCAATCCGGAACCGAATTACGGATTCAAAAAATCAATCCAAACCTATCAGATTTGACTGGACCGGATCGAATTACAGATTTTACAGATTCCTTGCTCAGCCCTAAACTTAAGTATGTTTTTAGTTATTTGAACCCAACTCAACAAATCAAGCTCAAGGTGAGGTTTGGTATCTTTTTAAATAGGGTAAATTACACTGACATCCCCTGAAGTTTCTATTTATTACAGTTCTCCCTTCACCTTTTGGAAATTACATCTCTCTTCCTGAGGTTTAAAATTTCATTACAAATTCCCCCTCAGCAATTTAATTTTTTTTAAATACCAATTTTGTCCTCACTGGGTAAATTACATTGACACCCCTTTATATTTTAAAAATTACAATCCCTCCATAAGGTTTAAAGTAGTATTACCAAATGTCTCATCGATTAGTATTAGTTGGAAAAAAATTCATTGAAAAAAAAAATTTAATTAGAAAAAAAATTAATTGAAAAAAAAAATTTGTTAGTAAAATTTTTAAATTTTTGTTTAAAAACCAACGTAAATTCATTTTTTGAATTTACTTTTTTTTTCTCAAATTTACAAATTGAGACAATAATTTATAAACCAAAAAAATTATCAAACAATTTTTATGACCGTTTTTTAAATTTTTGTAAATATAAATTGAAAACTGAAAACTAAATGGTTACCAAACAGGCCTCATATTGTAAAAATATCGTAAAATTAACAAATAATTAAATAAGTTACCAATGTAATAAATGACTTATCAAAAGATTCTTAGACTATGTATGGTTTGATTTTTAGAAAAAATAAAAAATAAAAATTAATTTGTTTAAGAAATAAAAAATAAAAAATAATTATCATTTTAATATAATTTTTATCTTTCGAGTAGTTAGAAATAATTTTTTATAGATTAAATTGAAACAGCCATATATATGTATATAACCTGCCCAAAAGTTAAAATGATAATTATTTTTTACCCTTAAATGATAATTATTTTTTATTTTTTATTTCTTAACCAAATTAATTTTTTATTTAAAAAAAAAATCTAAAAATTAAACCATACATAGCCTAATAATCTTTTGATAAGTAATTTCTTACGTTGGTAACTTATTTAAGTATTTGTTAATTTTATGACATTTTTACCATCTGATAAGCCTGTTTGGTAACCATTTCGTTTTCAGTTTTCAATTTATATTTATAAAAATTTTAAAAACTGTCATAAAAACTTGTTTAATCAGTTTTTTGGCTTATAAATGGTTGTCTTAGTTTGTAAATTTGAGAAAAAATGTAAATTTAAAAAAAGAGTTTACGCTGGTGTCACGACCCAAACCCGCCCCTATGGGTTTAGCACCGTAACCGGCTAGTAATCCGAGATTATCGAAGGCCTGCTTAATAGTAAAACAGTAATACAGAGTACAAGGGCTGGCGGAAGCCAAAATAGTAATTAAAAGATGTCCAATAAGCTGTGACAGTCTGTATGCAAAAAGACTTTTCATAACATGTTCACATTCAGAACAAAACAGCATATATATACATCATTTACAGGCATTCAGGTGAGGGACCAAATCCCCACCATAACAGTACAGTACAAATATCATTCAGTCTATACAGTATATACAAAACAGAAACAGAAAGGGAGAATCTAAAACACCCCTAAACAGTCTTGGCTTGAACAGTTCTGGAACCTCTCAGTGAGGCACAAAGGTTGGCTTGACAAAACAGGAGTTTAGCCTGATGCTCCTAGCAACGGTCCGGTGCCTGTACACCTACATATATATATGAGCAGTGAGCTAAAGTCCGATGAATAACATATGCGTAAAGAAGTTAGGAATGAATGTCCTTTCAGTATTGAAAATAGTAATTTATAAGTATATCAGTCATTCAGTTTGTGGCTCATATTTCATGCCATAACAGTCATTCAGAAACTATAATAGTCATACGTGGTACATCCAATAGCAAAACAGTACAGTAGGTCTTAACAGAACAGTCAGTTGATGGCCATCATATCAGTAAATAGTAGTGGTTCCAAACATGGGAATCGACAGAGATCTCTGTGACAGTAGCAGTATAGTACAATAACAGTAAATTACTATGGATGCCACGAATACAGTTCACAAATAGGACAAACATTCATTCAGTAAGAAATATCATTTCAGAAAGCAGTACAGTTGTTCATTTAGAAACTATTCATGATTGAACATATCTTTACAACATTGTTACTCACAGAGTTCTGGGCTACAGATAGGCTAGTGAGCGTCCTCGGATGCCAACCCTACACAGTTACATAACGAACACACACTAAGCTACACAGTTGGGAAATAATAACTGAATCCCTAATTTGTCTCGGTGTGGTTCTACATCAATATCCTCATTAAGATGCCTTAAACTAGGCCTAGAAATGCCTAGGCTGAAATGAAGATGCAAAGATGTACTTAAAAACACTTTTCAAAATTTGCTGAAACAGGGGTCCACGCTCGAGCGTGGCTTTCCACGCTCGAGCGGACATGCAGACAAAGGTTCCCCGCTCAACCGTAACTTTCCACGCTCGAGCGGACTGTAAAACGTGACAAAAGTACTGAATGCATGAAATTTACCCTCGACGGGCACTCGACCCCCGCTCGAGCGTGAGACACAAGTCCTCGCTCAAGCGTGCATTCCCTCGCTCGAGCGGACTGTAAACACATGCAAAGTACTGGATACACGCATTCCCCGCTCGAGCATCACCTTACCCGCTCGAGTGAACTGCATGAACTCAGTGTATACGCTCGAGCGTGGAGTTCCCCGCTCGAGCGTGAATCCAAAATCTGGAATTTCCATATTCGAACCTCAAGCTCAAAACTCAACTTTAAAGCATCAAATTCGATTCTTTTGGGCTAATTTTCTGGAAAACACTTGTAAACTTATAATATGACATGTTTCAAAGATCAATTTGAGAAATCAAAGCTCAAAGGTAGTTCAATTAAACACAATTTCAAAGAAGTTTTCATGAACATGAAGAACATATGACATGCATGAATTATAGTGAATTCTAATGCCTCAAGACATGATCCAAAGCAAGTTTAACTCAAAACTATGATGAACTCATGGACTAGAACAAGAATGTAAACTTGCATGCAAGATTTAATGAAAATCAACTTCAAAATGCAAGAATATGTACATGCATGCATGATTCAAGCTCCAATTCAACAATTTAAGCCATAACTTGGCTCTAAATTCCAACAATCCTCTAAACCATGCAAGAACCAACCCAAAATGTGAACAAGAAGGTAAATGTCCTACCTTAGGTCTTGAATGCAAGATATGAAAGCTCAATTATGCAAATTTCCTTAAACTCTCTTAATCTCTAAGCCAAAACAAGATAAAATCAAGCTTTCCTCCCATCTCTCTCTCTCTAGTCGGTTTAGGCTCAAGAAAAGGCTGAACAAAGTGCTAGAAATAAAGCTCAAATGTGTTTTATGAAGTGGGCGACTAAGTGGCAAAATGGTGATTAAGGGCAACTATTGTAACTTAGCTTATTTAATCTAATTTAGTCATTCCAAATCAAATTTCAATTAAATTTGCCATAAAATCACATAAATTCTAACGAGCATAAAACATTACTCGATTTCAGATTCGGCCGCCGATAAGGCCTTCAATTTACAGTTTAAACATAATACATGAACAGATAATTTAGCAGACAAACAGATAGACATGCGTTTAAACTAATACACTCAATCAATCAGTTCAGAATTTCAGTCAATCAGTCAGTTAACATGCTTAATCATAGATTAGCACTAATCAATGGTGAGGGTTGTCACAGTTGGTTTTTAAACAGAAATTTAAAAAATTTACTAACAAATTTTCTTTTTCAAATAATTTTTTTTCCAATTATTTTTTTTCCAAATAATACTAACCAATGGAGCAATTGGTAATGCTACTTTAAACCTTAGAGAGGAGATTGTAATTTTTAAAATGTGAGGGGTGTCAATATAATTTACCCAATAAGGGCAAAATTGGTATTTAAAAAAATTAAATTATTAAGAGAGAATCTGTAATGAAACTTTAAACCTCATGAAGGGAGATGAAATTTCTAAAAGGTGAGGGGAACTATAATAAACATAAACCTTAGGAGGTGTCAATGTAATTTACCCTTTTAAATATATATATATTACATTTTTTAAATCTAAAAAATCTAATATATTTACAAAGTAAATTTGTTTTTGTTTTTTTTTTCCTTCTTAAATTTGCTAAAAAAATTTGATTTTGTATTTTTAATTTTATGAACAAGCCATCCAAACAGAATTAGTTTCTTTTAACTTTGTAACAAAAATATTGCTTATTTAATTCTTCTCAAAAGAGAACATGAATATATATTATCTTGATTTTTAAGTCTTAGAGCATTAGCATCAGTATCTTTAAAATAACAAAAAGTTAAAATATAACTAATAAATCATCAAATTCTCCCTCCATCAGCCTCAGCAAATTTTTGTTAAATTAACTTTTTGTTCAATTTGTTACAGTAACTCGTCTGATGAAGCAAGGAACTGTTCATTGCTACAACATGCGATTTGGGTATAACCGGACGTTCGCCCGGAAGTCCGGCAAGTCAATCGGTCAACGACAAAAATATATATATATATATATATATATTTTTTCTTTTGTAAAACCTAAGAATTAATTGTTTAGTTGATAGGTCATCAATTTAATTATAAAAAAAAAGAATAACAAATATTTTAATAGGATTGAGTTAAAATAGAGAGTTTGATGCAGTGGATGACTAGCTAAAATAAGAAAATGATTTTTTAAGTTATAATTTGACTCAAAATTTGTTGAAACTGATACAGATGCTCTTACTACTACGCTATATAGCTTCCCTTTCTAATATCCCCTATTACGGATTGTTAAAAAATAAAAATAAAAATAAATTATGTTAATGTCATTCAAACTCTATTTGGTTTTAGATTTTTCAAAAATAGTTTTTAAGTTTCAATATATATTTTGATTTTTAGTAATTTTTTAGATATTTTAATCAAATTTTATTAATTTTTAATTCACTTAATTTAAATACACTTAAAAAATATAAAATTTGTTAACAAAACCTTTAAAAATACAAAAAATAGTACATTTTTATATTTTTTGTATGTATTGAATTTTTTATATTTTTTCATACATATTTTATTTTGTTAGTATATTTAAATTATATACATCTACAAAATAATTTAAAAAATTGATCCAAGTATTAAAAAAAATGCACTAGAGACAACAAAATACAAAATACTCAAAAATTCAAAAAATATTTTTAAAAACTCAAATCAAATTGAGTGATTTTAGGGAAACTATAGCAAAATTACAAAGTGATGTTTTGAGAAGTTGGTAAAAAGTTAATTTTTAAACTTTTTGACTTTTTTGATAAAAAATTAGATTGTTTTAAATAAAAAATCTAATTTTTTTAATTTAAAAAGTTAAAAAATCAAGGAATTGACTTATTACTATTGATCCCAAAATGACCTAAAAACGACTATTGATCCCAAAATGACCTAAAAACGTTGGGGGTAAAAAAGAGAGAATAATATTCCAACTAAACGTTGGGGTAAACGTGGATGCTGTAGAACGGTTCGCGTGTTTGGCAGACGAAGAACAAATCTAAAAGGCGGAGAAACTTTTCTAAAGAAACTTTTCTTCGAACACCGTAAAAACACCGCCTTCGAGTCGATCGATTCGAAGGCTGTTTTCAAAATTCACTGCCTATACATAATCAATCATACATTCAAACTCATATCTACATATATATACGATGATTTGAATAGCCATGTCTTCGTCGTCGATATCGTTGATACATCGACTCACTCCATTTTTCGTAGCTCGAATTCGACAAAATCAGAGACTCCTGAGCTCTTCTTCTTCTTCTGCGCTTCCCGAATTTCAATCACCATCTTCATCTCCATCTCCATCTCTCGATGCTGTTCACATGACTGACAATTGCGTCCGGGTACTCTCTCCGAAGACGTGACTTCTGAGCAGCTCTTCTTTTTTTGCTTTTTTCTTTTTCTTGATTTCAGTTTTTCTCATTTTTTTTATTTGGAAATTTCAATTACTTGTTTGATTAATACAGTCAAATATGCATATGCAGCAGAGATAGAGATAGTTTGATTTATTTTTGTCATAGATTTCTCATTTTTTTGAGATGCGAGAGACGAGTTGTGGTTGTGCTTGCAAAATTTGGTAGAAATGCATGTTATTGTGGAGTAAAGACCAAGGATTTGTGTGTGTGTGTGTGTGTGTGTGTGTGAGAGAGAGAGAGAGAGAGAGAGAACACCTGTAAATTGTAATGGAATTGCAGAGGGGATTTAATTGTAGTTTGGATGATTTTATGTTGATGAAAAAGTTTAGGGGAAATTACCTTATCAGTGGTACTATCATAAAATTATTATATAATCATGAAAAAGTTTATAACTTTAGTTATTAATGCGTATAAAGGTTACCACTTATCTGTAATTTTTTTAAAAGCTTACACTGAATTGAAATTTTCCCAAAATTTTATCCTTATGCTCTTTATTTTTTTATTTTTTGTTGTTGTTGCTTCTTTGTTTTGTGATTTGTACTGGAAATTCAAGTCCTTGAGCTTGTACTGTTTAGATGAGACTTTTGAGATGCATTCAATAGAGCTTACTTTATAAGTATATATCTTGCAGAAAATGAAAGAGCTGCAAACTGATGAAGCCTCACGAAAGGAAAATATGCTACGGTTGAGCATAGAGGCTGGTGGATGTTCTGGGTTCCAGTATAACTTCTCTCTCGATGACAAAACCAATGCAGATGACAGGTTTTCCCTCAGCTTTCTACTCAAAACGATTCTTGTATTTGTCTTCTAAGATATGTGCTTCTATTAGGTTTGCAAATGAACCGAGCCAAGCTTAATATCCTCCAAGCTCAGCTAATCAAAATTTGAGAGAGCTTGAACTCAGCTCAAATTGAGCTAGAGAATGAAATCAGTGTCTCATGTTGTCATTTCCCAGTCAATGCGAGCTTAGTTATCAATTGAAACAGATTTTACACAAAAATGCCAAACATAAAATGTAATATAGATATAATCTCTTATGAATTATTATGACACATGAAAGTATGAAACAAAGAGCCATATATCTTATAATACATCCTTGGCATCAGATCATAGTCGTGAACCATTCGAACCGTGCTTGGGCTTGCTTTGGCTTGTCTTGTTTATGAAATGAGTGCAACGTAAGACCTTGAGATTTGTTTGTTTGTTTGCTACTCACTACCAAGCCGATTGTAAGCTGTGCATGAACTTCTCAATCCATTTGCAATTAAGTATATACCTTGCAATTTTTATGCTTTTTTCTTTTGTCACATATTAATTATTCTCCAATGCATATAGACTTTTCGAGAGGGATGGAGTTAAATTGGTGGTCGATAAAATTTCATTTGACTTTGTAAAAGGTTCAAGTGTTGATTATGTTGAGGAGTTGATCCGCTCCGGTTTCCAGGTATGCTTACCTTAACTTGTTTGCTGTGCATGTTTTATTGTTTATGGTTGTCATCGTATCAACAATGCTTGTCTGCATTGTATATCATCACTTTAATTGTTCTGAACACTCACTTAGTAGGGGTTGATTGTGTTTGAAATGTTCTTATATGTATGATTATGTTATGAAAGTTGATAGAGTTGAATAGGTGCAACTTAATCTCTGGTATGGTGGAACTTATTAGCATCTAGGACAATGTAACATGGGCATGAGGATACGCTCTTAGAAGGTTTTGCATCCTATTTTCAGTTTATCAGCCGCTACAGTAGCTTAACTGTAGACATGGATAATTACATATATGAGAACTCTGCCATGGTTACTAAAACCTACTGGAAAAAGGGGCCAATTGTATGTTGATTTTAAACCTTGTTCGGTGGATTTACCTTTCTTTTGAGAATTGATTATGTGGTAAATATTAAATTTTTAGCCTTCTATTAATGAAGCAATGGAAATATTAGGCCTGACAGGTTATCAAGTGTAGGATATTCATTATGCAAGGGGCAGTTATACTCTTGGTTTGGTGATCACATAGCTCATAGTGTTATTGATGCCAAGAAGAAAACATGTTATCTGGTGAACCGATTGAGATTTGATTTTGTAGCTGTATAATATTATCATCACCAGGAAAACCACTATGGCAGGTAGCTATTAGCATTTAAGTATAGATTTATTTAACAATTAACATAAATTAAGTACAATAGAGAAATGGATATTATTGATGTGTCTATATTAAACACCTCTGAAAATTGCTTACTGTTATTGTGATTAAATGGAAGTTATAAGCTGGTTTTTATATGAGAGATGAGCGCTGAGGATCTCTACATAGGAAGTTAGAGGTTTGCCCTGAAATTTTTCATCCAAGTTAAAGGTGCCAAAAGTACTATAGGAAGGCCCAAAAGGACCAAAAGTTGAAGCCATTAAAAAAGACTTTATATTTAAGCTAGTATTTGGCTTTATATAACCCAAACCAAACCAAGTCAAGCCTTAAGTCCCATCAAATGGTGGTGGTGGTTGGTTGATAATCCTTTTCTTTCTAAAAGTCCCCCACCTTAACTTTTACCAATAAATGCTTCTTCCTTTGCTTGGTTTAAAACTACTTGCGAAGAATGGCATGATTCTGAGTTTAGACACAGTTAACTAATCATAAATTGTAGAAAAAGAGGGATAAATTTGGAATTTAAATTACACATAAACCGCTTTCATGACAAAATATGGTTTTTCCTATGTTTTTGCACAAAACAAAAAGCCAAGTTTACTTGATAAGTGTACATGAATCCTTACTTTTCTGTACTTCCCTCTATTCTCTTGTGAAACAAACTAATGAGAAGTTAATTTCCATCACTTTCTAGCGCTCTCTTGCTAAACAAACAAAAATGGTGTGTTTTGTATTACATTAATCAGAGGCGTTGTTTAAAGCATAAACCAGATCATCAGTTTGTTTATATACCATGATCTACCACTTGATTTCTTGTAAGAGGCTGCAAATTATCTTTTTGGTTCGTTGGAAATGGAATTTTTAGGTATTTTTTTTCTTTTCTTTTTTTCCTTCTCCATCTTACATTTATAAATAAGGAGATTTTCTATATGAAGGATAAAAGGTGGAAATGGGGAGAGAACATGATAGTTTTGATCTTTGCTGAAGTGGTTGAAAATGGGAGGTCCATTATTTGGCGAGTATCACCCCTTTGTGAGCTAAACCTCAGTACTACTTACAAGTGGAAGCAAGTACAGTTGGGTTTCTTAATGTTTGAAGAACTTCAAGAGAAGTTAATGTAACAACAATTGGCAAGAAATTGTTGTTACATTAAAACATATGCCACAAATTGTTGTTACATTAAGCCAGTCCAAATACAATATGAGATCTTGCTTATATGATTTACAACACAATATAAGTCTTGAGAGAATAACCATTTGAAAAAGTACTATCCTTGTGTGTGTGTGTGTGTGTGTGTGAGAGAGAGAGAGAGAGAGAGAGAGAGAGAGAGAGAGAGAGAGAACTTGGATAAATGGCAGGGTTGATTCACCCTTGCCATAAAATAGCATATGTAATCTAAAGGGTGACTTGGATTGCTTAATACCCTTTTTGGGATTGGTACACTTTTTGAAGCAAGGGTGTAAAATGGCAAGCGAGAATTTCTGTAGTTTTCTTTGTTTTCATTTGTTGCTTATTTGTTAAAACCTACCATCACCTACTCCACCTACTACACCTACCACCACCTACTACCACCTACTACACACCTACCAGTACCACCTACTACCACCTACTCCACTACATCTCCTATATAAGGAGCCCCTCACCATTTGTAATATAATATACATCAATCAATAATACATACAAGTTATTTTCTCTCTATCAATTTATTTTTCATGGTATCAGAGCAAGGTTAAGCACTTAGTATTTTTCGCTTCACCGGCGGGGGGGGAACTCGTGGCCGCCCGCCGGACCTCAACCTAGTCCGCTAAAATTTTCTACACATACCTTCATCATCATCTTCATCCAGCCCATCCTGAATATGTTTAACTGGTGGCTTTGGTTTGACAGCAACAATCAGTGAATCTTCATTATTCAGTTGGACGAATTCATCTAAACCATTTTTGTTGTCATGCAACACATTCCCTTGCAAAATAAGTCTCAAATTCTCAATAGGTAAATGAGCCTTCCCAGCAATCAATCTTCTCAGATCCTGCACTTTGATGAGAGAGGGGACATTGAGGAGAGAGGGAGAAGGACCGATGGTTTTGAGAGAGATTTGAACCATTGTCTTGTCTTCTCCATTGCCGCCATGATTCTTCTCGATCTCAACCATGGCGTTGTGGCTTGAAGATCTTTCAGCTACACAGATTTTCCAGCAATGGCGTTCCAACTTCCTCAAGTCGGATCTGACTCTCCAGGTACTGGGAAATGCTAAAGGTACTGTTGCTATGGTTATCTCCATTCTAATATTTAAGAATCCCATCTCAGCAACAGGGATGATGGGCTACTTGCTTACTGTCATCGGAGTTGTTCTGTACAGTGAAGCCAAGAAGAGGAGCAAATAAGACACTCTTTTCTTGTAGCTTATTTTTTTCTGAGGTGAACATTTCATTTTACCTCTTTCAGAGCCAAGTGACCTGACGCTCCACGGCGAGATATCCACGGAACGGAAGACTCATTGGGCTCTCTTCTCTTCCTCTCTCTAGCTGGGTCTCTCACGAGACACACCCATCACCTCTCCCTCTCGGCAACTCTCTCTTCCGGAAAACACACAGACAACCACTCCACCCACTTTTTGCACACACCCATACTCCTTTTTTATTTTTAAACCAATCTTCACCTTTTTCTTTTCATCCACTTTACTTTTTTCCACCACCACTCATTTCTTTATTTTTTTCTTTTACTCACCCATGTGACCCACGATGCAACCTATACTTTTTCTTTTCATTACACTCTTGTTCCCCACTTTCTTTATTATATAAATCCATTATTTTTATTTATTTTCTCCAAACCACTTTCCTTATTTCCCCCATCTTTCATTTTTGATTTCAAATATATTTTTATTATTTTTTCTTTATTTTTCTTTCACATTCTTTTTAATCTTTTTCCAATTCCCTTCATACCATATAACTTTGCACACCAAACCATATTTTATTCATCTCAGGGATCCACCCCGATCACATTTTTACACACAAAAAAAAAAAAAAAAAAACCTACAACAACGACAAACCACCACACAACACCAACAGCTCTGTTTTCTTTTTTGCAGCCGGCCACCAACCGACCTCACTTCTTCGCCTATTCCGCCGGTCTTTTCTTCTTGCCTCCGTCCTGGGTGACCCTTGACGATGCTGCCTCCGTGCTTCCTAATCCACCGAGCACGTTCACTCCCCCCTGCTCCTCCACTGCAGCATATGGCGGACCTCCAAATCGGAACATCACGGTGGCCTTCCGCTTCAGCTCCTTGTTTTCCGCCTTTAGCACACTTATCTCTGCTCGCGCATCCTTATACATGCGTTGGAGCAGAGCCAGTTGGGCATTTAAACTGCCTTTAGCACACTTATCTCTGCTTGCGCATCCTTATACATGCGTTGGAGCAGAGCCAGCTGGGAGTTTAACTGTTGCTTCTCATTTGTCCTACTCTGAAGCCGGTGCGACAAGTTTGTGACCGCCGTCATGGTCTCCACACATGACTTCAAAGTATACTGATTGGCCTCAATATCAGTTTGCACCGCCATTTTTTGCTCCACCGACCGCATCGGAAAGTTCAACGGAGCAAAACCAGAGGCGCTTGGTTGAGGTTCACTGGCCACCGCACCAGTTATCTCTCTTGTTGACTCGTTGAGGTCGGGAAAGAGAGTGAGCAGACCACGGGACGAAGAGGCCATATTCTGGGTAGCTGAACGGGAAGACGAGGCCATGTTATGGGTTGCTAAGTGTTTCAGAGAAGGGTTGGTTACAGAGTGTGACAGAGTATCTCTCTCAAGACAACGAAGAGTTTCTCAGAGTTTTTTAGCCAGTTTTTTGTCTTAGCCTCTGCCTCTGCCTCTGCCTCAGCATCCGTCTTGGTTAAATAGACATGGCAGACACGCGCATCGTGCGCCACTTGACGCCGGACGACAAAACGGGCGCGCAAGCCAATGTGGTGACGCGCCTCGCCATCATGTCCGGCACATCTTTTTATAACTTGGGCGCGCCTTTTGATGGCACGTCTTTTGATGGCACGCCTTTTTATGGATTGGGCACGCCTTTTGATGGCACGCCTTTTGAAAGATTGGGCACACCTTTTGAGGGTGCGACTTTTTAGGGGTCCAACAAGACTCTGTAAACTGTCCCGACATTGATTCCGGTTAGCTCCTTCATGGGTCCGACAAGACTCTGTAAACTGTCCCGACATTTGATTCCGGTTAGCTTTTCCAAGGGTCTGATAAGACTCTGTAAACTGCCCCGACATTGATTCCGGTTAGCTCCTTCATCGGTCCGACATGACCCCATAAACTGTCCCGACATTGATTCCGGTTAGTTTCTACAAGGGTCCAGCAAGACTCCGTAAACTGTCACAACAACTGTCACAACATTGTCTGCTACAACGGTCCGACATGACCCCATAAACTGTCTTCTACATCGGTCTGCCATAACCATACAGTCTTCTACAACGGTCTGACACGACCATACAGTGTCTCCTATCCATTTTTTATTTTTCAGATTATTTTCTTGTTTTGTTACTCTCTCCAAACTCAAGTTGGTTAGTTCCTATCCCCCTTGAGTTTGCGGGGGGCTGTTAAAATCTACCATCACCTACTCCACCTACTACACCTACCACCACCTACTACCACCTACTACACACCTACCACTACCACCTACTACCACCTACTCCACTACATCTCCTATATAAGGAGCCCCTCACCATTTGTAATATAATATACATCAATTAATAATACATACAAGTTATTTTCTCTCTATCAATTTATTTTTCAAATTGTCATTTCAGATAAAATCTATTCTCTTAAATTTCAGCAAAACCAGAAGTTGCATTTCTTCGTATTTATGCAGTTCATAAAAATTAAATTTAAAAAAAGAAAAGAAAAAGAAAATAAACAATCAATGCAGCTTGTAGTACATGTTTTGAGATTAAACTATCTAAATCAGCTCAACCAAACATGATCCAACAGTTTTTTGGGCAACTTGTATTGTTGTTCTTTTCGGTCTGATATTGTCTACTGATCTTAAGTAGCGTATCAAAGGTGCATAATCAAACTTTGCAGTTAAAATTATGATGTTAGTGTGATCTACATTCATCTGATGGCCCAATCAGGAGCATCTCTAATAGCAAATGCTATAATTTCCCAATGAATAGTAGAAAATGGCAGAATTATAGCAATGGTGCTCCAATGGTCAGATGTTATTTTGGCATCCTGCTGGTCGTCTGAACACCGCAGTTTCTATGTTTGGTTCTGCAAAAATGGCAGGAGAGAGAGGAGGAAGGGAGGAAGGGAGGGAGGGATGTTTTGTTGGGAGAAAGGGTGGGAGGTTTTGCCTGATGAGTTGGCAGTTATGGCAGCTATCAAAACTTGTGTCAAATTTAACACAAACTTTGGCATTTGCCAAATTTGGCAACTGTCATAACCAACCATTGGAGCACACTTTTCATCTCCAGCTGCCAAATTATGGCAATAGCAGCTCTAATGGCAAACCATTGGAGATGCTCTAAGTAACCATCTCATAGACCGCTTATGTATATGTCACAGCCATTGAAAACCGGAATTAATGGGCAGTTGCCAGATCAACTGTTGCTTGTGTCTGCTATTGGGCAGACTTAAGAAGGGTCCAAGGGTTATTATTATTATTTTTACTTATAAGATTGTGACCAGCAACCCAAGTGCCTCCCTACACTCCCATTTGCAGCGTTCTTCTTACTAGCTAGAGCTTTTTTGCAATACATTAAATTTTATTATTTTGGTTCAACTTGCATAGTATCTAGGACCTTCTTTGTCTGGTGATTTGTGTTATAAATGATTTGATTTGCTAAAATTAGAAATTTTGATTTGTAATTATTTGTACCAAATTAGAAATCTTAATGCGTTGAAATTAGGGGTTTTTATGTGATGATTTGTACTAAAATTAGAAAGTTTGATTTGTTGTGATTTTTACCTCAACATTAATCTCACCAATTGCAAGTTTGCAACCGCTACTATTTAGAGGGTATTGTCAACTAATATTGTGAATAATCTACTATTTAGAGGGTATTGTCAACTAATATTGTGAATAATCGGTTGCAAAACCGAATGGATGATCAATTGATGAACAATAACTTGGTTTATATATAAAGTGATATTTTTTATGGCATTGATAATGATACTATTATGGAAAGTTTTCAAAATATAAATACTTGTCAGTGGCACTTATAAAAGTTTACACTAATTTTTTTTGTAATGAATATTTAAGTTTTTATGCTTAATATTAGCTCAAAAATAATTAGTCTCATAGTTATTGATTATATAAATCAATTTTTTGGCTCCGCCACCGCTACTGAAGATTGCTCATTACATGTTATTTAGCTTGATTCTCCATTCCATATTATTTCACCTCAAACAATGAAGTGGTCCAAAGAGCAATAGTTTGACAATTATTTTTTAAAAATTGCCTCGATTTTAAACTCTATTGCTCGTGCTGCAGTGTTAAAATTCTGTTTACTGTGCAGGTAGCTGATAATCCAAGTGCAGTGGGTGGTTGCAGCTGTAAAAGTTCTTTCATGGTGAAATAGTAGTTTCTGTGTATGAATACCAAATACCTTCTCTGCTTATCAGCACTATGAAGGGATCATCAATAGTTGGCTTTAATGGGGCACATGCTTAGATTTCTTCTATTATTAAGAAGGAAAATGCTATACAAACTAATAAAATTTTCCCACTAACCTATGTCTCCTGCAATAAATAAACTTTGAAAACTGAATCCCTTCGATAATATGACAGATGTCACATCAGTGAATAAGAAAATTTTGTAAGATTTGTTAGTTTGTATAGTATTACTCAATTAGAAGATTTGTTCCTTCAATTTTCCATTATTACTACATTTCCTGGTACAACGTGTAACCCATTTTCCCCCCTATGTCTCCTGTGTGTTGATGGAGAAAATTTGGTGAGATTTGTTGTATGGTTAAAAGGATATTTGAAACTATGTTATTTTTTATTTTCATTTTTTTTGGAGGTTAGTCTCAGAAAATAAGGACTTGATGCATTGTGATTGATGTAAACAGATTCTCTTTTTACTCCTATGGATTCATTTTCCTTTGAGAGGATTTGCAAATCAACTCTGTTTTTGCGGTCAGGAGTTTGCTTTTTTGGTGGTTTTTTGTTTTTGTTTTTTTTTTTGGTTATTTTAGTTTTTTTATTTTTGTAAAGAACTTTATACTTTTACGTTGTGTTTGATTGAGAGATTTAGAGAGAGATTTGAAAAGAGAAAAGGAAAATGTGTGTGAAATTGGATGAAATATATGTATATTTTATTCACATTTCATATATCTTTTCCATTTCTCTTTTTATTTTACTTCTCAAATTTTTCAACCAAATACAAAATTAAGTTCTACATAAAATATATATATATATATATATATATATTATGAGATTGCTTGGCAAGAGTTTTTTGGACTATTTTAGTCACAAAAGACAAAATAGGTTATTTTAGTTACAATAAACAAAACATCACATTCAACCCACAATTATTATATTATTCTCTCACAAAAAAAGTTAAAAAAGTCAAAAAGTCGAAAAGTTCTTTCTAAATCAAGCATTTTAACTCAGGTTAAAATAGTCAAAAAAAAATTAAAAAGTTTCTAAACGGCGGCTCTATTGGTTTTGGATATGAAAAATGCATCGTCGATAGGATGACCAATAGAATGAAGATGTGAACAAATCTAAGGTGTCGTTTGGTAACACTTTCGTTTTCAGTTTTCTGTTTATATTTATAAAAATTTTAAAAATTCAAATAAAAATTTGTTTGGTAAAATTTTTGATTTATAAATCAATGGTCTTAGTTTATAAATTTAGCCAAAAAAATGAAAACACAAAAAATGTGTTTCCGTTTTGAGTTTTGAGTTTTTTTTTTTACCACCCAACACTAGCCACCAACCGCCACCGTTTTCCGCCACCGTCTTCTACCACTACCACCCATCCCCCACCACCACTCACTGCTAACCTGCCACCACCACCACCCACCAACCATTCACTTGCCACCCACTCGCCACCACCACCCACCCTTCGCCGCCGCCACCACCCACCTGCCATCCACCCGCTACTACCATCCACCGCCCGCCACCACCGCCCGCCACCTACTTGCCACCACTACTCACCACCCACCTGCCACCACCATCCACCACCTGCTACCACTAGCCACCCACCACCACTAGCCACCTACTACCTACCCGCCACCACCACCCACTACCACCACCACCCACTCGCTACCACCTACCACCCGCCACCGTCACCCACCCACTCACCCGCAACCGCCCGCACATTTGCAAACCCTATCCGCACAAACCGCAAACCGCACTGCGGGCGGTTGCGGGTTGACTTTTTCCCAAACCGCATAGATGTGGGCGGGTCAAAACCGAATCGCAAACCGCACAAAACCGATCCGCGCACACCCCTACCCACCACCACCCACCACCCGCCACCGTCACCCACTCACCCACCACCACCACCCGCCACCCACCCACCACTACCCGTCATCCGCCACCCACCTGTCACCACTACCCACCACCCGCCGCCGCCGCCACCACCACCATCCGCTACCCACCACCCACCGTCACCACTTTCCACTACCGTCTTCCGGCGCCACTTGCCACCACTTGTCATTTCTTACTTTTTTTTATATTTTAATTTTTTTTTTAATATTTTGTCAATTACCAAACGCGTTTGTAGTTTATATTTTTCTAAAAATAAATAAAAAATAAGCAAAAACTAGTTTATAAAATTTTTATAAATATAAACTGAAAACATAAACGTTACCAAAAATAACTCAAACCAAAGATCTTATGAAAAGTTTTGTAATGGTGGTTTATACTTCAAAACACAATCTATCAAGGTGGTTTAAGAGTGAAAAACTACTATTACATGATTATTATATCAAAAATTATTGCAGAAAATCTCAAGTCCTTAAATGAAACACTTTTCTGACACATAATTTTCAGAGGCCAAGAACCTTTCTCTGTCTTGTCATTCTCACATTTTTATCGACAATGCTGCGTAACTCAAATTTTGTGGCTCAAAAATGGTTCAAATGGCTAAAACGACGTCGTTTTGAGTACAGAACAACATAAAAATGACCAAAACGACGTCGTTTGGCCATTTGAGCCACTTTTGAGTCACAAAATTTGAGTTACGAGACATTTTTCCATTTTTATTTATTTATTTTTAAAGAATATTTTAACATATTTTCTTCTTTTTTTTTTATCTTTTACTTCATTGTTTTTTATTTATTTATTTATTCCTGGACAACTCATTAGAGTTGTACGGCAAAAATTCTAATTAGAACTCTGCAGCAGCTCTCTTATTCCATGATATAAAAATTGTAGTAGGCTAACGATACTTTGATTCTAGCCTGTCACTACAATTTTAGGTTTGACATTTCTTCAAAAAGATAAAAAATAAAAAAGTTACTCAAAAAGTTAAAAAGTTATCACTATTTATCAAAAAAAATATTAAAAAATTAATTTTTCACACATCCATACAACTCAGCAATCATGTATATTGTACGGCTGTGCAGCGTTTGTTAAGAAAAGTAGCACAATTTGGGTGTACTTTTCACACATTGTTGTTCGGCCCGTAGGGGCCATCACGGGTTCTGTTTTGATAATCTGAACCGTTCAATGTATAGAACTCGTCGAGTACTATATGTTTGTAAAAAATCATATTGATCGGATATCGATAACTACATGATCAAATCAGTTTTATATAACAAAAAATGGATGGTATTATAATTAACGATTGAAAAAAAACAAATCTGATCAGATAGTTATCGACATCCGATCAACGTAATTTTTTATAGGCATATAGTACTTGACGAGTTCTACACAGGGACCCGTGATGGCCCCCATAGGCCAAACAAAACCATTTAGTACAATGTCCGAAAAGTAGCCAATCATTTATTACCATCAATTCAACCCCTCAGATTGTACGGCTGTACAACACATATTTCTAATATTCTCCTACACACTTCTTTATATAATTTTTTAATACATATTTTTTCATAAAAAGTCAAAAAGTTAACCCAAACATTCATATTTTTTCCTCAACTTTTTGGTCTAAAAAGACAAAAAGTGCACTTATTTAGGACACCCCCAAACAACCTAATTTCGCTTGTTTTGCGTAAAACATTTTTGTATAATTTTCTCAAAAATGACTTATTTTTAATATTTTCGTAAGTTAATTTTTACGAAATTGACTCACTCATTATTTTTTAAACATATAGTCTTTTTAAATAAATATCTTAACTCATTAAAAAATTATAAATGATATTTTATTAAATCAAAATTTCTCTTTTGAGTAATAAAATATTTTTGTTTCAAATGTCAACTAAATGTCGTAAAATAAAAATAAAAAAAATATTTTTATGTAAAACATATTACGTCGAAACAAATAGAGCCTAATGTTTAAATCTTAAATTTTTCAAAAAAAAATTAAAATTATTTATAAGTACTCACTTTTTTAGATTTTATCCAAAAAAATATAATTTTTTGAAAATTATTTATCCATTTATACTTTCTTCTCATTCAACACAACCAAGAAAAATAGTAATATAGTAACTTTTTTCACTTAATTTCCTTTCTATACCTTTTTCTCCGCAAATCTAAATTCAAATATACCCGTTAAAGATTAACACAAATGCTTTCCTTAGGCCTCGTTTGGTAAGTGTTTTTTTAGTCAAAAAGTTAAAAAGTCATTAAAAAAAAAGTCAATAATCTATTTCAAAAAGTCAAAGATTTATTTTTCTCTTTACTTTTTACACATTTTTTCTTAAAAAATTAAAAATTCATCCCAAACATACTAATTTTTTTGCATCATATTTTAGCCAAAATATCAAAAAATTATTAAAAAAGCATGTTCCTAAACGAGGCCTTAGTTTCAGCAATGTGAACAAAAGTAAAATAGACTAGGCCTATTTTGGCATATGAGTTAAAAGTTAATTTTTTGACTTTTAAATTTTTTTAAATTGCTTCATCTCTCTATTTTTTTTGGGGGTGATTATTTAGTATTCTCAGAGTATGGACACATAATGCTCCATAAGGTTTTGATTGATAGAGAGGGATAGGGTCCAAAATTTATGTTGAAGATGAGGAACAACATAGGACTAAGTAATTGGTAATTAATTTGGAGTATGGCCACGTGATATTCCAGGATTATTGAATAATTTTCATTTTTTTGCATATTTTTTCACAAAAAAAAAAGTCAAAAAATTAATTTTTAATCAACTTACTCATTCAATAATCTCCTAGTGAATAATCATTCAATTACAATAGTGATAGCTATTTTTATTATTTTTCTAATAAACTAAAAAAATAAACATCCTAATAAAATGATCATTTCATCTCAAATCAATCAAATACTACCTGAAGGGTTAAATCAATGCCTCACTAGTGCTCAATAAAGCTCAAACCAAGCTATCTATATGTCTCATTTAGAAAAATGGTTGAGAGCACTAAAAGTGGTGCTCTAATATCACCATTAATGATGTGACAGTGGGCTATGTGGATTCATCTCATCTCCAGCGCTTTACCGTCCAGCTTCCTTCAGCCATTCCACCAGATGGAGATGCGTGGTGACAACGGATTTGACGGGCGAGAAAGGAGCCATGTCTGTGAAGCTCAAGAAACAAACAAAACGACGCCAAGTTCTATTGTTTTGGCCAGATGGAGGTATGTAATGGAAAGTTTTTTTATTTATTTATTTTGAATTACATATCCAGATTCAGATCCCTTCTCCCGCCTTTTTCATAAATTCAGAACCCAATCCCCGATTCGCTCTCTCTCTTTCTCAGAACCGAGTCCCCTATGTATGATTTAATTTTTTTTTTCCATTTATAATCAATCGACGATAGAAGGCTTTGCCATCCCTGGACTCTATCATTTGAAAATCTTTGTTTACCCAAACAATTGTAGACACCAAAGGTTAGATTTGTAGTATTTTATTTTTCGTCTTTTTTTTTTTGGGGGGGGGTTTCAAATC